AATTAAATACAAAATCTAGTCATAAGGAATTATTACATGATTACGCCACCAGTCACTAGTACAGCACAGACACTCAAAAATGGCATATTATTTCCATATAATGAATTCCTTATCAAAAAATCTTTTTAGACCAATTAGGTGAAATAGGATGATTTTCTACGGCACACATGACCATCACTCACAGCACACTAGTGTACCGAGGCACAGTGGTTGAAAAACACTGTGCTAGACCACAGTCCTTTCTTGTGACTGGCTGGCTGAAGGAGTGGCCTAACCCCGGTGTTCTGTGTGTGTCTCTGGCCCAGATCGACCTGTACCTTTGCCTGGTGTGTGGCCGGGGGGACGAGGAGGACCGGCTGCTGCTGTGCGACGGCTGTGACGACAGCTACCACACCTTCTGCCTCATCCCCCCCCTGCAGGACGTGCCCAAGGGGGACTGGCGCTGCCCCAAGTGTGTCGCAGAGGTGAGGCTCCACGTCTGACACTTCCTGAGAGGTTTAGACCTCCAGTTAACAGCGTTATGAGCTGTCCGTGGAATCCGTTGTGGTCAAAATGACACAGTACAGCTTGTTTGATAATGTGTCCCTTGTTGGAACATCAGGCTCCCAAACATGTAGTATAATGAAAATTTAGCGTAACTATAGTAGGCTTGTCCTGATCCGATATCTGGATCGGATCAGCCGCCAATATTCGCCAAAAAATGCGTATCGGCTGGCAGGAGAAAATGCAGATCCAGACTCCAGATCCTGTTTTTTTTTTTTTAAGTCCGATCCCACACGAGCATTAGCATTAGCATTAGCATCTCCTGACCCACAGGTCTGTGTCATAACCATTAAGTTGTTATAAAGTTGAGTAAATCCTTGTTCAACATGAGTCTGACAACTAAGTAAGTAGATAAATAACTTTAAACTTTAATACATGCTCTGATAGTCTGGGATCAGAATTGGATCGCAAGTGAAAAATCTGGATTGGGATATCCCTAAACTATAGTGAAAAAGGAAGACAAAGTTTGTTTTTTGTGTGCATTTATGAAGGCAAATCATTGCGTTTCTAAAAACAGGACTTCAGAAATAGCCGATTTCTCAGGTTTCGACCTTTCTGGCCCCTCACAGGAGTGCAGTAAGCCCCGGGAGGCGTTCGGCTTCGAGCAGGCTGTTCGGGAGTACAGCCTGCAGAGCTTTGGGGAGATGGCCGACCACTTCAAATCGGACTACTTCAACATGCCCGTTCATGTGAGCAGAACAGCCGCGGAGCTTTGCCGTGTGAGCGGAAACGGGGGCCGGGTTTGATGTCCCCCTGCCGCCCGCAGATGGTCCCCACGGAGCTGGTGGAGAAGGAGTTCTGGCGCCTGGTCAGCAGCATCGAGGAGGACGTCATCGTGGAGTACGGCGCCGACATCAGCTCCAAGGATGTGGGCAGCGGGTTTCCTCTCAGGGACGGAAAGAGGAGGCTTCTGGGAGACGAGGAGGTGAGAGGCTGGAAGAGTTACTCAGCTTCCCTGAGGCGTCCCTGGGTATGCCTGAGGGTTGTCGCGATACAAATATGTTCAACTCGATACAGATACTCAGGAAAATATTCGATACTCGATACCATTTTCGATACCACAAGGATAAAAACAAAGACCCCAAAATTTAACTGAATTTTGACAGGTTAGTGTCTTTGGTTTCAAACTTACCTGTTACTGATGTTATGGTGGCCCACATTAATGACCCTAAACCTAACCCTGACCCAGAGCCTAACCCTAATCCTAAACCTAACCATAACCTTAACCCTGACCCTAACACTGGCCCTGACCGTAACCCTAATCCTAAACCTAACTCTGACCCTAATCCTAACCCTAAACCTGACCCTAACCCTAACCCTCCACCCTTCATAATTGTGAGAAATAAATATTTTTTGGGGTTTAACTTGTTTGAACTTATTGTACAAACCTATTTAACATCCACTATTTTAACATAATATTATGTATCGAGTTTAATTCAGTGTTTGCAAGATTAATTTCACTATTTTTAAATTAATGTCTATATTGCCATGAAGCAATTAGGATTTTCTTGCCCTTGATCTTCTTATTGGTGACTTAATAAAAATGTCCGACTGGGATGTGGGCGGAGTTGTATATCCATCCTTGACTTCCTACAGTCTGCAGCAAGCCGCAGCTAGCAATTCAAGGCTAACGTCATGTTAATGATCATAAACAACCTAAATAAATCAAAGAGAAGGGGGGGGGTATTGTTACTTTTTAAAATGAGTATCTTATCCGGATACAACGTTTTAGTATCGATACTTTTGACAACCCCAGTCTGCCCTCCTAACTCAGCTCTGTTTGTTTCTGGTCAGGAATACGCCAACTCAGGCTGGAACCTGAACAACATGCCCGTCCTGGAGCAGTCTGTGCTCACCCACATCAACGTGGACATCTCGGGGATGAAGGTGCCCTGGCTCTACGTGGGCATGTGTTTCTCCTCCTTCTGCTGGCACATAGAGGACCACTGGAGCTACTCCATCAACTTCCTGCACTGGTGAGAACCCAAACCCCAACTCTTCATGGAAACCCACCTTTAATAATTCAGCCAAATGCATTAAAACACATTGAGGACATAAATATGCAGATTTATCATCTACAAAAGGCTTTGAGTCTCAGGTGAACACTCATAAAAACCATGTCTTCAAACAAAGTTCAAACAGAAAATGATAGAAGAGCAGTTAAACAAGAAGCTGTGATTTTATTGGAGAAAATAATTCAAACCAGGGCTCAGTCATCCAAACGGGCCAATGGGAGCAGGGCATGCTGTCCCATGTGACCCGAGAAAGGAGAGGATACTTTGTATGATCAATTTAAAAGGGGTGGGGGGGTATCTGTGTGGGGAATTATCTGAAAAATCATTGAAAAATCTGCTTTTTTAGGTCTTTAGATGAAGTTAAAAATACTCAGAAATCTCAGCTATTCCACATGGAGCCATAATGCGCCAGAAAACCTCTGCTTTACTCCAGCCGCATCAATCTCTGCACAGAACATGTCCACACTCTGGCTCATGGTTTCATTCAGGTTCTGACCCACCACAGGGTACACAGTGACAGCCTCTGGATGGATGCTAACACAGTTAGCTTCATTCTGAGAGCGGCTGGTGTGGGGCATAACAGCTCTCTTTCAACCTAACTGTCTTGCCTTACATATTTTTGTGTCCCAGGGGAGAACCCAAGACTTGGTACGGGGTTCCGGCCTCCGCGGCAGAGCAACTGGAAGCAGTGATGAAGAAGCTGGCTCCGGAGCTGTTCGACTCCCAGCCGGACCTCCTTCACCAGCTGGTCACCATCATGAACCCCAACGTCCTCATGGAGCACGGCGTCCCTGTGTGTAGCCCAGCTGAGCCTCCAGTTTCCACTCAAGCCATTTCATACATCCTGGGCCCTGATATCCGAGCCTCCGTGTGTCTGTCTCCCCCCTCCAGGTGTACAGGACCAATCAGTGTGCGGGCGAGTTTGTGGTGACCTTCCCCAGAGCCTACCACAGCGGCTTCAACCAGGGATACAACTTTGCAGAAGCTGTAAACTTCTGCACCGCTGACTGGGTGAGACAGTAGCTCATCCCAGTCCAATCCACCACACAGACACGAAGCAGTTAAATGGATGTACTGGTCCCATGTAGGGCTGTCAAAAGTATCGATACTCAAAAAAGTATTGATGCTAAAATGTTGTATCCGGATATGATATTCATTTTCTCTCCGATTTATTTATTTATGTTGTTTATGATCATTAACGTGACGTTAGCTTTGAATTGCTAGCTAATGGCTGTCGTGAAATATCCTTTCAACGACTTGTCGAATTATTCTAAGTCTTGCAAAAATACTAAGTTCTTGAAGGAGAAGCTTAAGAATTATTCTAAGTCCTGAAGGAGCAGTTGAAGAATTATTCTAAGTCCAAAGTTGAAGAATTATTCTAAGTCCAGAAGGAGCGAAATTATTCTAAGTCCAGAAGGAGAAAAATTATCCTAAGTCCAGAAGGAGAAAAAATCCTAAGTCCAAAAGAACAAGCAGAGGCCGCTAGATCCAGGTCCAAAGTGGTTTATTGCAGGAAATACAAATCAACCACATGAGCTGTTAGCCGGCTAACAACTGATTTTCTTGGGACGGACACCTGCTTATAAACCTTTTGGGGCTCCACCCTGAACCCCTCCTCTATCAGAGCTCCACCCTGAGCCCCTCCTCTATCAGAGCTCCACCCTGAGCCCCTCCTTTATGACGTCGTTCCCTTACCCTCTACGGGGCCCCATCTCTTAGCATTCCGTTAGTCTTCTCAGTACATGCATTGGTTCATCCTCAGCTGCCTGTTCCCTCCATGCCTCACACCTGGCCTGTGCTTTGGCCCTTTATCTCTGTTTTGCCATTCTGATGCATTCACCTCTATTATGTTGTAGCCTCTGAACCATGGTTCCTTCCTTTTATATATTTATATATATATATATCCCAGCTACATGTTACTTCTATTTTTCTTTTAGATATATATATATATATATATATATTAATGCACTTACTACTAATCTTTTGTGATAATATATTCACTGTAGAATATTAATCCACTACATGGCTAATGGCTAAAAACAGGGTTTAACCAATTTATTATCCTGTCGAAAAAGCTGTTTAGATTAAAGAGTTATTCAGGAGTTAAAAACTAGTCTAACCAATTAAAAAGCTGTTTAGATTAAAGAGTTATTCAGGAGTTAAATAATAATAATAGCACGCCAACATTAATGCGGGCCACCATAACATCAGTAATAATCAGAAATTCAGTTACATTTTGGGGTCTTTATGTTTATCCTTGTGAAAATGGTATCGAGTTTCGATTATTTTCCTGAGAATGATCGGTATCAAGTTGAAAATGTTTGTATTGTGACAACCCTACTCCCGTGTGGCTCCCAGCTCCCGATGGGCCGTCAGTGCGTCGCCCATTACCGCCGGCTCCACCGCTACTGCGTCTTCTCCCACGAGGAGCTGCTCTGCAAGATGGCCGCCGACCCCGAGAGCCTGGACGTCGAGCTGGCTGCGGCCGTCTTCAAAGAGATGGGAGATGTGATAGAGGAGGAGGCAAAACTCAGACAAGCCGTCCAGGAAATGGCGAGTATCCCCTTTTTCTTCCTGGCCTTGTCCGTGTGAATGGCAGTGATTTCTTAAAGGAGACATATTATACCCTATTTCAACAAGTTAAGCTAGTTCCCTGGTGTCCTAATGTAATGTCTGTGACAAGCTTTGGTCAAAATCCCATAAGGATGAAGCCCAATAGCAGTTCAGTCCCCCTGCCAAAACAGCCCCGTTCAGAGCGCTCGCTTTGGAGTGCCTGTCTCTTTAAATGCAAATGAGACACAGGCAATCCACCCACTTCTTCCGGGTGGTGTGCCCATGTCGGCACGCTAACACTACCATGCTAACGCTACCACGCTACCACGACGTCTGCCACAGATAGGGGAGTAAGCTGAGGGGGGGGGGCAACATGCAGGTGAAAGGCTGGAATATTATAATGAGCTAGAGCTAATGACGTCAGAAACTACCCACTCCTGAAACCTCCTGATTTATCTCCTGGATTCAGACTGAGGCAGCCCACAAAAACATGAACGAGTCATTTTTTTTCACACTTTGCCTGCTGATAGGCCCTCCACAGTCCCAAATGTACAGAATCAAATGATTAAAAACTTGGTTTTGCATAATATGTCCCCTTTAAAGGGTTTCTTTACTCCTTTCTCTCCTAACAAACAGGGCGTCCTGTCATCGGAGCAGGAGGTTTTTGAGCTGGTTCCAGATGACGAGCGGCAGTGTTACAAGTGCAAAACGACCTGTTTCCTGTCGGCGCTGACCTGCTCCTGCAGCCCCGACCGCCTGGTGTGTCTCCACCACACCAAGGACCTCTGCGACTGTCCGCTCGGCCACAAGTGTCTTCGGTAAGACAAACGCCGGCCGGGAGCCGCGCCTCCTGTCCGGTTTTACAGCCTAAACGAGCCCGAGCCTTTCAGGTATCGCTACGACCTGGAGGAGCTCCCCTCCATGCTGTACGGCGTGAAGACCCGGGCGCAGTCCTATGACACCTGGGCCAAAAGGGTCACCGAGGCCTTGGCAGCAGACCAGAAAAATAAGAAAGGTAAAAGAAACAAACTGTGGCGCTCAGACGATATTAAACAAACAGATGTCCCTCCTAAAACAAACCCAGACATCCTGAAAACAAGCAGCTGCATTACTGATGGAAAAATGATATACTTTTAAGAAGTTAGTGCTTTTTTAAAGCAGTTCTTAAGTATTTACTTCTTAATTTTAGTGTGTTTAGCGTGCCAACATTTGGCAAACTGCCAGAGATAAAAATTAGATTAAAAAATGTATAAATTCAATTCATTTATTGATATTGTGTTTAAGAAGCAAAAACTTCAGCATTTTTAGTCTGGCTTTATGTGGTCAAACCTCCTTAAAGAGTAAAATTGACCGCAAACTGATAAGAAGTGAGTGTAATGAAAAGCATTTCCTGCTATAGTCAATGATATGAATTAAATGATTCAGTAAATCCAAAAACCGGCTTGTTTTGGCATCCATGTTGGAAATGACTGATGTCTTTGTGCCAATTGGACCACTGGCGGGCTGGTTTTTACCTCCATCGCCTTCCTCGCAGATCTCATCGAGCTGAAGGTTTTGCTGGAGGACGCGGAGGACAGGAAGTACCCCGAGAACGCCTTGTTCCGCCGGCTGAGGGAGATGGTCAAAGAGGCGGAGACGTGCTCCTCTGTGGCCCAGCTGCTGCTCAGCAGGAAGCAGAGGCACAGGTCTGTCCCGCGTAAACCCTAACCCCCCCAACCCCCCCTGGCCCGCCCGGCTTTAGGCAAGGCAGGGCAAGTTTATTTGTATAGCACTTTCGTGAACAAGACAATTCAAAGTGCTTCACAGAGAATTTAAAAGCAGAAAAACAAGAAAAGAAAAATAATCAACACGATAAGGACAACGACAGAAACAACAACAACAATAATAATAACTGACGATCGTCAACACAAACACGTACAGTGGGGGAAATAAGTATTTGACCCCTTGCTGATTTTGCAGGTGTGTCCACTTACAAAGAATGCTTATTTTTCCTCATCAGATGGTTATCAATTTTTATAAATTCATATGATGTGATTTTCTGCTATTTTCTTTGGGATTCTGTCTTTCACTGTTAGAATGTACATATGATTAAAGTTATAGATCGTCGCATTCTTTGTAAGTGGGCAAACCTGCAAAATCAGCAAGGGGTCAAATACTTATTTCCCCCACTGTATGGGATCCCGTCACACTAAACAAATACTTTTTCCTCGGCCCCTGGCAACAAGGATTGTTTACTTTTGATCGGCCCCTGGCAACGATCCAATTTCTTTAATCGATCGGCCCCAGACAATGATCTAATTTCCCTTTGGTCCTAGGCAACGAAGGCTTATCTCCTCGGCCTCTGGCAATGAGAATCTCTACTAAACAGCGCTTTTGTCACTCACAGATGAAAAGTGAAGATTTAGAGGGTGATCTGAACTTTTGTTTGTTTTTGTTTTCTCTCCCCAGCAGCCGCCTTCGCTCCGAGAGCAGCCGCAGTCGCAGCAAGCTGACGGTGGACGAGCTCAAAGCCTTCGTGGAGCAGCTCTTCAAGCTGCCCTGCGTCATCAGCCAGGCCCGACAAGTCAAAGTCAGTCCGGACTCCGTTACCCCCCCCACCACGCCCTCTATGGCGTCATTTTTATGTCAAATGTTCACACGCGCAAAATGAACCTTCCCGCGCGTAAATGAATTAGAATGAGATTTCTAATATACATAAAATGTCTCAGACTGCGTATAAAATGCTGCGCAGCTCATAGTTAAATCAATCTAATTCATTTACGTACCCCACTCTTCTTCAGTGGTAAGTTAACCCAACTCCGTGCTTCCTGTAATGGGAGCTGTCAATCAAGGTACAAGGACGTCCCTGTGGTTGTAATCACGACGAAAGTGACCAATCATAAGAGGGTCGGTGCCCCCTTGGTTTCCGCCCCCAAATTGTCAAAAGTCCTGTAGACTCGAGCGAGCAGAAATCCACTGCGGGCGCAGAGTTATCCTTTGAGAACAAACCAGAACAAATTTGTGCGCTAATACTGTATCTGCGCGCGGGAAGGTTTATTTTTGCGAGTGTGAATATTTGACATAAAAATGACGCCATAGCCCTCATCCAGTTCAGCCCCCAGCCTCCCTTAACCTTCTTCCCCCTGTTCTCCAGGAGCTGCTGGAGAACGTGGAGGACTTCCACGAGCGAGCCCAGGTGGCGCTGTCCGACGAGATGCCCGACTCCTCCAAGCTGCAGGCCCTGCTGGACCTGGGCAGCGGGCTGGACGTGGAGCTCCCCGAGCTGCCCCGGCTCAAGCAGCAGCTCCAGCAGGCCCGCTGGCTGGACGAGGTTAGCTCCACCCGCCCCGGACACGCCCTGCCAGGGCCTCCGGAGACTATCAGAATCAGAAATGCTTTAATAAGCCCAAAGGGAAATTATTTTATGTACATATATACATGCCTAAACATATGTATATATATACACATATACACGAAATTCCACACAGAATATTGATAAATATATACATAAGTAATAATAATATATGCCAGTAGTTTAGTTAGAATTTACAGAGGGGGGGTGTCCTGAGGGAGCAACTCCTTTGTTTCTCCTGCTTTAGCCCTTGGAGCACTTTTTATTCTGGAATAAATGCACTCAAAATGGTTTTAAGTTCTTATATAGTTACTTTTTCCAGAAAGAAAACAGCATCATGTGCATATATACATGTCTATTCATATATATATATATGTATATATTTATATATATGAATATATATACAAATATCTATCTATCTATCTATCTATCTTAATACATAAGTAACTATATGTGTATATATAGGTCTAAAATAAGTGATGTTTTGGACTGATGAATGGGTTTGCCTGATGCTTTCCTCAGGTGCGTATCACTCTGGCTGAGCCTCACCGCGTCACCCTGGAGCTGATGAAGAGGCTGATCGACTCGGGCGTGGGCCTGGCCCCGCACCACGCCGTGGAGAAGGCCATGGCCGAGCTGCAGGAGGTCCTCACCGTCTCTGAGAGATGGGAGGATAAGGCCCGCGCCTGCCTGCAGGCCAGGTGAGGCCTCACCGCCACTCTGCAGCTGTTCTACGAGCCACAAAAAGCTCCTAAAAGAAGGAAAAACACGACATGGAGTTAGCACAATTTAGCCCAGGTCATCACAATAACAGCACCTTATTAGGTTTATAGCACGCAAAAGGAAAGAAATGAGGATTTTTTATTATTTGTGCCCTTTACCTGCTATACCGAGGAGATGATTTGGGTAAAATCAATGACTAATGTGTCTGTTTTACTTCCTTATATGTACAGTAGAATTTTTTTAATCTTTAATCCCAACACAAGCACAAAATCCCACCAGCTCCATCTTTGAGGATTTTCATTTTCAGTGTTTTGGCTATAAAACCAGCCTCCGTGGGTAAAATGTTGTTGGTTTTCCATTCAGATTAAACTCCATCCGGTTAGTGTTACGGGTCCTTTTGATGTAACTCGTATTTAAAAGCCCTTCAAGAAACATACTTCTGTCCATTCAGCTCAGTTTAGGCTCCGAAGTGCCAAACAAACCAACAGTTAACCTCCTAAACAGTCTGTTCAGCGTAACAGAAAAGAGGAAAAAAAATATTTTTAATACAGTTTCCCTCTATTTTATGGGTTCTGTGTCTTGTATTGATTTAGAACCAAAATAAGGAGTCAGATGATGTTCAGTTTCCTATTAAACAAGTGAGTTTTCCTCTCCAAGGCCTCGCCACAGCATGGTGACCCTGGAGAGCATTGTGCTGGAGGCCAGGAACATCCCGGCCTACCTGCCCAACATCCTGGCCCTGCGCGAGGCCCTGCAGAAGGCCAAGGAGTGGACCTCCAAGGTGGAGGCCATCCAAGTGGGCAGCAGCTACGCCTACCTGGAGCAGCTGGAGAGCCTGCTGGCCCGCGGCCGCTCCATCCCCGTGCGGCTGGACCCGCTGGCCCAGGTGGAGTCCCAGGTGGCCGCCGCCCGGGCCTGGAGGGACCGCACCGCCCGCACCTTCCTGAAGAAGAACTCCACCTACACCCTGCTGCAGGTGGGCCGCCGGGCGCCCGGACCAGGGTGGTCAAAAACTTTGTATCCGGATACGATACTCATTTTCAGAAGTATCGATACCAAACCCCCTCTCTATTATTGATTTATTTACTTGCTTGCTTGCTTGCTTGCTTGCTTGCTTGCTTGCTTACTTGCTTACTTAATTGCTTACTTAATTGCTTACTTAATTAATTACTTAATTAATTACTTAATTAATTACTTACCTACTTGCTTACCTACTTGCTTACCTACTTGCTTACTTACTTACTTACCTACTTGCTTACTTACTTACTTACTTACTTACTTACTTACTTACTTACTTACTTACTTACTTACTTACTTACTTACTTATTTACGTTGTTTATGATCATTAACATGACGTTAGCCTTGAATTGCTAGCTGCGGCTAATGGCTAATAATAACACGCCAACATTAATCAAGTCCGTCAAGGATGGAACCAAAAAATATTTATTTCTCACAATTATGAAGGTTGGAGGGTTAGGGTCAGGGTTAGGTTTAGGGTCAGGGGTCAGGGTTAGGGTCATGGTTAGATTTAGAGTTAAGATAAGGATTAGGGTCATTAATGTGGGCCACGATAACATCAGTAACAGCTCAGTTTGAAACGAAAGACACTAACCTGTCAAAATTCAGTTAAATTTGGGGGTCTTCGTTTCTAACCTTGTATCGAAAAGGGTATCGAGTATTGAATATTTTCCTGAGTATCGGTATCGAGTTGAAAATGTTAGTATTGTGACAACCCTAACCCGGACGCCTCTCCCCTCCTCCTCCAGGTCCTGAGCCCCCGCGTGGACATCGGGGTGTACGGCAACAGCAAGAGCAAGCGGAAGCGCGTGAAGGAGCTGATGGAGAAGGAGCGGGGGGGCTTCGACCCCGAGGCCCTGAGCGACCTGGAGGAGAGCCTGGAGGAGGTGCGGGACCCCTCCACCGTGGTGGCCGCCTTCAAAGCCAAAGAACAGAAAGAGGTGGAGGCCATCCACTCGCTCCGGGCCGCCAACCTGGCCAAGATGGCCATGGCCGACCGCATCGAGGAGGTCAAGTTCTGCCTGTGCCGGAAGACGGCCAGCGGCTTCATGCTCCAGTGCGAGCTCTGCAAGGACTGGTTCCACGGGGCCTGCGTGCCTCTGCCCAAGACGGGGACCCAGAAGAAGGCGGGCGCGGGCTGGCAGAGCAACAGCAAAGAGGCCAAGTTCCTGTGTCCACTGTGCCAGCGCTCGCGGCGGCCGCGGCTGGAGACCATCCTCTCGCTGCTGGTGTCCCTGCAGAAGCTGCCCGTACGCCTGCCCGAGGGGGAGGCGCTGCAGTGTCTGACGGAGAGGGCCATGAGCTGGCAGGTACGGAGGGGTGAATTGTGGGATGACCGTCTTCAAGTAGCTCCAGGGGAGGTGCTGCAGGAATAACTCTGCTGAGGGTTAGGGTTAGGAACTTGGTCGAACAAAAAGAGGATTTTATTGTCAGCCAGGTCCGAGTCAGAGGCAGGTGAGATGTAGAAAGTACTGGAGTAGAGGAGTGGAGTAGAAGTACTATATAGAAAAATTTACTTGAGTAAAAGTAGAAGTGTTCTTTCAACTCCAGACTTAAGTGGAAGTACGGAAGTCCTCAATTTTTAAGTATTGCAAGTAGAAGTATTTCAAAAATTGCTACTCAAGTATCGAAAGTACAAGTATAAGTACAAGTACAATACAGGTGTTTTAAAAAAACATAAAACTACATCTGCATTAGCAATCAACAGCACTTAAATGCTATTATTTATTATTCCAGAGTCAGAATCCTGAGCTGAGCCTTTATGCAGAGATGTATAAAGTAGTGGAGTAGAGGAGAGGAGTGGGGTAGAAGTACTATATAAAAGAATTGACTAGAGTAAAAGTAGAAGTATTCTTTCAACTCCACACTTAAGTGGAAGTACGGAAGTACTCAAATTTTTTTGTACTTAACTCATTGACTGGCAGCCATTTTCAGAACAGAGAGTCCCATACTGCCAGAGTTTTTTGAGCATTTTGACTGATGTTTCAAGAGCCACAGAATAGTTTGTGCTATGACTATGTAAACACCGAACACACCAAAAGAAAGAGTAGACTCTCTTCTTTCATCAGGAAAAAAAATTGTTTCTGGGGATGATTCATTACGTTTACATCTCAGTAACGAATAACGATTCAGCCCGTGAAAAAAGTATTCAATTAATCAAAAATATGTAGTAGAGTAAAAGTAAAAGCAGGGAAAAAATATATACTCCAATAAAGTACTGATACTCTTCCCCCCCCCAGGACCGAGCACGCCAGGCTCTGGCCACGGAGGAGCTGTCCTCTGCCCTGGCAAAGCTGTCCGTGCTGAGCCAGCGAATGGTGGAGCAGGCGGCCCGGGAAAAGACCGAGAAGATCATCAACGCTGAGCTGCAGAAGGCCGCAGCCAACCCAGACCTACAGGTAGGCAGTCTGCCCCATTCTGAGAGTCCCAGAGGGGCAGACTAAAGTTCTGGGAGTACCTGGAGGGACCAGAAGAGGGCGCTGAAACGTCAACACATTCCAGGGGTTGTAAATCATCACTGTTTAAAGGCGTCGTTTTAGTTTAGTTTCTGACAAATTTACAAATGATTTACAAGGAAACATTAGAATCAATAATTCTTTCTAGTTTGTATAAAAAATAACTGATTGTGCAGAAGCCCAAATCCTTCTTTTGCCGTTTATTAAGACACAACAAGCCTGATTTTTGCTTTAATCTGCAGGTGAGGCTGTTATTTATCATAAATTTTATTTTAAGGCACGGCTAGTTTATTTGTATGGCACATTTCTGGTACAAGACTATTCAAAGTGCTTCACAGATAATTTAAAGGAAAAACAAGAAAATAAAAATAATAAAAATTAGATTGATGAAAGTGAAGGGTGCAGGTAAAATTTAGTATTTAATATCCATCTGCAGAGTTAAACAGAAGTGTTTTCAGCCTGGATTTAAAAACATTTAGACCTGAGTTTTGTCTCACATCTTCAGGAAGACTGATCCAGATTTTAGGATCATGGAACTGAAATTAAGCTTAACCTTGTTTAGTTCTGACTCTGGGCCCCATCAGGAGACCAGAACCTGGTTCTCAGAGTCCGAGCTGGTTCATTCGACTTTAACATGTCAGAAAGGTTATTTCGGTGCCTATGGAGAGACTTGTACACAAGAGACCTCATCTGTGGAGAAAGTTATTGGAATTTAAGTTATTTGTCAAGTTCCTGTTTCTTTTTATGTTTTTAAACACTTTTTTTGTCTTTTGTAAACTGCTGGACTTTGTGGGAACTGAGAACTGATGGTGACAAGGCTTTAAAGTGGTGGAGGTGTATTTTGGGAGAGGTGAAAGGAGTGAAATAGCTTTTTCTGGTTTTGTCTGTAAACCATTTTTTGTCTTTTGTAAACTGCTGGACTTTGTGCTGGAGAACTGATGGTGAAAAGGCTTTAAAGTGGTGGATATGGATTTTGGGAGAGGTGAAAGGAGTGAAATAGCTTTTTCTGTTTTTGTCTGTAAACCATTTTTTGTCTTTTGTAAACTGCTGGACTTTGTG